ACCCTTAAATCTTACTCTTACCTGTCAATTTCCACTACGCCACCAGCATAGCCTGATCACCACAATGGAAATTAAGTTTTGGTGCTCCTAAAACATAAATTATTTTATCAAATCTCACCTTAAATGCATGATAGTCCTGCCTTTGCTCTGTTAACTTCCGCATCCACTGTCTGAATATTTTCATCCACGGATTATAAATTAATCATGTATTTTAAAAAACATTCTTAAGTTTTAAAGGCAAATCAACCTCACAACAATTCTTCTTATTATCAAAAACCAGACTACAACTAACAGTTTCATCCTTCATCTTCCACGGGTTTTGATCACTGTAGATATTTTTATTGATTGTTTAATATGTCTGAAGCTAAAGTCTGACTAGCCAGCATAAAATGAAAGAAAGCCTATTGCCCGGTCAGTGCAGGGTGTAGAAAACACTACTACTGTCATACTCCATGAAATAATACTACGCACCTGGCTTCATTCAGCTTGACTACTAAATTCAAAGTACATTTGAGTGATAAAACTGGAGTGAAAACAAGAAGGCTCGCTCATATGTAACCGCTACTCTTTGGTTGTAGTGACCTTAGTAATGCAAACGTTTGGTACCAAGCCAAAGGCAGGACATTTGATTTTCCCACCAAGTGAACTGCTGCAGAACTCCCTTAGCTCTTCAGCCAAATCTGTCCTGGRATCCTAAAGTCTTCCGCCGGAGTCCAGGTGGCTCCTCTACTCTTTTCAACACGCACGCAAGCACCGCAGGCAGCTGGACGGACGATGCGAGAGGGCATTGGAAGTCCCGCAACTCCCTGTCTCCCCCCGCTCCGAGCCCCAAGCTCAGTGCGCTGGTTCCGCAGTCGGGTTAGAGTGGACCCCGGGGTCCAGGTGAAGTGGTCCCGCGAGCTCTGTACCTCCGCGGTGCGTCTGCCCTCGCCACCCACGCAAAAAGCAGCGTCCTGCGAGGTACGGCGGTGGCAAGAGCGCGGGAGCACCGAGTACCCGCTCCGCCCGTGCTCAAGGACCCCCGCCCATCCGCTCCTCAGGACAGGACAGGGTCCCGCAAAGATCGCGGGTCCGGCCCGCACCGGCACGGCCTCCGGCAGCTCCGCTGCCGCGGGGGCTCCGCGGTCCGCGGACCCGCAGTGCCCGGCAAGCCCCCGCCGCCGCCGCGCATCCCCGGCCCGCCCCGCTCGCGGCAGGCTCTCGGCGCGCAGGGACGGCCACCCGGAGCACGAGCGATCGTTTCTCCCCCCAGTCCCATTCCCCTGCCCGGGTCCCCAGAGGCGACCACCGCCCGGCAGCGCGACTCCCCGGCCCTTACCGAGGTGCGCAGGGATGCGCTCCCTCCGCCGGCCGCCAGCAGCCCCAGTCCCGCAGCCCGGTGGATTGTAGTTTTTTTTTGAGAAGCTGGGAAGAGGGAAAGAAAGGGGGGAGGGAAGGGGGTGGGAAGGGACTGAGATCGAGGGAGAGAAGAAGTATGCAAAAGGCAGGAAGTGGAGACGGCCACGGCCAGTGCGGGAGATTAATGGGAACCAGTCACCCGGCAGCTAACAAAGAAACCTGCTCCCCCAACGCAGCGCAGCCCGGCCCGGGCTGCAGCCCCGGGTGGCCGAGCCACCACCACCGCCGACAGCGCTCGGAGCCGGCTCCGGCTCCGGCCCCGGCCCCGCAGAGGAGTGGGCGCCGCCCTCCCCAGCCCCAAACCCGTGTTCCGGACAGGCGGGAGTGAGGGAAGCAGTCGGGCAGAGCCAGCCGGTCCGCGGGAGATGCGTTGGGCACAGGAGGAGGAAGGGAGAGTTCAGCCCCCCGAGTGACAGCCTTCCTCCTCGCTCTACCCCAGAGGGACAATACCGCTTGGTTTTTATTTAAAACACTATGAGCATTGGGTTCCTTTCGGCGCGGAGCYGCTTGCGGGGCAGAGCGGAAGGAAGGAGGAGTGCGGGAGGCGCGCTTCCTGCGCCAAGCGCGGGGCAGATGGCTCCCATTAGGGAGCTGCGAACGACGGAGCTTCCGGACCTTTCCCAAGCTCCACGGGGTAGCTCGCTTTAACAGCACCTGTGGAGAACGAGAGAAGCAGCGGCGTGCCACTGAACTTCATTCCGGGTACTTTGGGTCAAATCTAGCTTCCTGGGAGCAGCTCTTGGCAGCAGTGTGGAATGCTCTGCTCCCTGGGCAGCAGAGCCCGAGATGTCCYGCTCGCTGGTCAGGGCCCTCCAGGGCATCGTGTGTACCAGGGGTGAAGAAGGTACCTGCATGGCACAATAAAGCACATTCTCCACGCAGGCCACCAACAGCACCGTGCAAGCCACCTCCCTGGCACACGTKTCTCGTGGCTCCTGATGGTTTGGCAGATGAGAAACCCTCCCAAAACATTTGATATTAAAATCCTACAGAAGAGGCAGGATGGTAGCTGTCAGTAGGACCGTGATTATTGCAAAATACAGTCACTGCTGCTAGATCTTGAAGTATTATATAGGCATTTATAATGATRCCTTATCGATCAGGCTAATCTGAAACAGAGGCCAGAAAAACTTAAGAGAATGAGAATAGACAACTTTAATACAGGCCTAACAGGGCTACTGGTACATTAGGGCAGACAAAGCCTCCTCCTGAGGCTACACCCAAAATGGACACCAAGTCACGAGATCTTCACCTTTTATAAGTTCTGCCTTATTAACATATTGGGTCTTAATTCTCCAATGATCTTTTCAGGTGATGATGTCAACCACCCCAAACTTGCTCCCCCACAACTCGCTATTGTTTACATATTGGGCTCTGAGGCAGTGAGGTGTCCTTGGATTCAGGCTCAGAGAGGGATTGTTTCGTCTAAAGATGGGAGAGCAGTAGTTTTTAGTGCTGTACTAGAGAGGTACAAGAATACAGATGCATGAAAATATAGAAACTAAAAATCCTAAGGCCTCAATAAAACAAGTCACTTCACAATAGATTAACCAAATATTATTAGGGACAGAAGATAAGCAAAGAGCAACATGTGTATTCTGCAACTTGAAATAGAAATTCCAGCACTACACATTTCTGGAACTTTTAAGCACTTCCTGACTTTCTTTCCTTTGACTGAAATGGAAGCAAAATGGTATTCAGCATTAGGAAAATGCTTATGAGCTTACCTACACAAGGATACTTTTCTGAACACAGAATCAAGTGCTCAGGATAAACTATYACTGGCTTTTGCCACCTCACCAGCAAAATGAAATACATTGTGTTCAGATATTCTGATCCATCATCCCACACAACAAGGAATCTGGTGGAAATGCGCAGCATTTCACAAACCTCCATTATATTTCAAAAGAATGAATGTACAGGAAATAAGGGTAACTGTCATCTGGATTCTGATGTGAATATGTGTTTCAAAGCAAAAGATATTTCAGCTGTCAGCCTTCTTKGGACAGATGTATTTACTCAGCTGCAAAAAGAGTACAGTGTCACCAAACATCAAAAAAATGGTGGGAGTTTAAATTTCAACACAACAGGAATCATTTACCTCCTGAAGAACAAGCTATTGCTACAAGTACCTGGCAGGAATAAAAAATAGTTTTCTCATTCTGTTATGAAAATGACATAGGAGATCCTTTACAAGTATATTTCACAAGCATATTTCACAAGAGCTTAACACAGCAAACCCACTCACCTCTCCAGGAGACCATTGCTAACAAGGCTTTCAATTAAGCAGGAAGCAGTCTGTTATGGCTACTTCTCCACCACATCAAACACACTAACATTGTTTTTATCATTTATTATTTTTCTCCCCAATTATGTTGCATTCAGTTCCCTAGACCTCAAACACTCCAGCAACTTGCCTAAATTTTCTTTTGAGTACAGAAGACCAAACTTAAGCTGGATTTGAACACTGAATGGGGGCTTTCAATGTCTTAATGAACAAGCAGCCTGTGAAGGGCTTGTTTATTACAGGAGCTGGCCGCTGCTCTGGTTAAGCAACTGGAAGATGACAACRAAGTGTAAACTAGGAGAGGATTATTTTTCTTGTTCGCCAAAGAGATTACAGGTAGCAAAGCTCTCAACAAGGATGAAGGACTTGAAGGATGAGGGTGTCCCTGTTAACCTTGGCCATACTGAACTTACAGAAAATTTCGGTGCTTATTTTGCCCTTCCTACTGTCACCTCTGTGCACACGAGGTTCGTGAGGCCTCAGGGTGGCTCCAACTCCCACGAAGCCACAGTCACTTCCCAAGTTGCTGCAGTAAATCCGAGCGGTGACCGCAGCCTGGCACTGCCCTGCTGGAGAGCCCTCCTGGGACAGACCTAGCTCAAAAAGACAGAACCGGCGTGTTTGGCAAATCCTGCTCGCAGTGGGCCTAAGCGCTACCTGGGTTCTTCTCACCGACTCAGGTGAACGGGCTTTAATTTGGGGAGTGGATGCCGCGAGTGTGCAGCTCTGCCCTCAGACCCACACCTCCGTCACTCAGCCAACCATCGCCACCTACTGTCAGTGTTACCTCGCACCGCAAAACTTTTTTAAAAAAAACACCACGCGGGGAGCACCGCTTTCCATAGCAGAGACCGCAGGGCACGGCAGGGCTCGGCACCTCCAGCTTCTCTCAGCTCTTTCCCGTTGTCGCACGGCGTGGCAGCCAGGGAACAGCAGCCAGGCACTTCACTGACCCTTCACGAAAAGCCTGTCCGGACGCGCCTCTCCTGCGTTACCTCAGAGCAGGGCGCGGGCCGAGGGAAAACAAAGACCCCCGAGCCCTCCGCGGGGCCGTATGCTGAGCGTGAAGGAAAAACAAAAGACCCCCACCCCGCGGGGCAGCATCCAGTCAGGAGCTGC